TATCTATCTATCTATCTATCTATCTATCTATCTATCTATCTATCTATCTATCTATCTATCTATCTATCTATCTATCTATCTATCTATCTATAATGCCCTTTCTAGGTGGCCTTCCCTTGGTCTGTCATTTTTTCTTACTATTTCCCTTTTACTTCGCGTGTCTTGGGTCAATCAAATGCTGTACTCCTTGCTGATGTCTCCACTTCTATGGCCTGTAGGTGGGCAGCAGGGGAGGTGGGGGAGGGGTCACTTTTTTTCCTTTTCCTTTATTTCCCCTCCCTCTTCTTTCTTTCACAGCTGAACCCCCACACTCCCGGGCGCTGTCTCCGCCTCTACAGGTGTTTCTTTCCACCCTCCTTTGTTTTTCCTCCCTTTCTTTTCTTTCTGTCGTTCATTGTTACAGCGCTCCCCGCTGATATCTCCGCCTGCTCCGAAAAAAATGTGTGTGTGTGTGTGTGTGTTTTTCCCCCTCCTTTGTTTCTTTGTTTCTTTTTTCCCCTGCTCCTTCTTCTTCTTCTTCTTCTTCTTCCAGATTCTTTTCCTCCTTCCAGATTATTTTCCTTCTTTCACGTGTGTAGAACCGTACACCCTGCTGATGTCTCCACATCCACCGCTGTTATTGTGAGCCAAAGCAGAGAGGCCCGGAGACCCTCATCCCTACCTGTTATCTCTCATCGAAACCGGCCAACGCCGAGGGGGGAAGAAAAAAGAGAGAAAGAAAAACCGCGATGACGACCATTAACATCCATCGTTTCAGACCACCCACCAAACCAGCTAACGAACAAAAGCTCCCCCCTCCGAGTAAGAACGAGTACAAAGTAAAGCGTATTTCACGCCCGCACCCTTTTCAACCGCCGTTTCCCCCCATCATATCGTACAAAAAAACTCATAATCATTACCCTGAGAGGCAGTTAGATGCTTATTTGTGAGGCATTCAAGAGAGAGGGCGCTCCGGCATCGTGAAAGGCACTTACGTTTTCCCCGTGGTCGTTTGTTAGGAGCGACACCTCACTGATCCCGGGAGTCTTTTGTGAGGGTGATCCCCCCTGTTGCGCCCTCACACCTTTCAAGGGGAGAGAACGCACACGCTGTAACCGATCCTTATAAACACGGGAGCACCACTGAAGTACCTAATTCCCCGAGCCCTTTAAAAAGTCTTTTCACTCTCAGTCCTACCTTGCTTAACCCCTTTCCTTAATGCCTGTTTTTGTAACAGTCTCTCCTCCATGCTGGTGTCGCTACTTTTAATTCTCAAACCCGCTTTTTCCCTTCTCGAGAACTTCTTGAGTTCACGCCCAATCCCCTCTAATTTCCTATGGTGTTTTGCATGTACGCTGGACAAGAACCCGAGCTCAATGTATATTCAGCAAAGTGGAAATGCTTCATTTTTAAACATATGATTCGCGTTAGCCTGCTATCAACAAGGCTCGTACCGGTACTCAAATGTAAGCGAGCGCACGCAACTAGGGAAGATATTATAAAGAGACGGTCCTTTCCTGCTCTTAGCATTTATTTACTAGGGGGAAATGTAGACGAGCTTTTAATAGCAGGCAGGAGCCCAGGAGAGCAGAATATTTACCGTGTTCAGCTAAATGTTTCAGAATCATTTCATCAAGTCGTTCGTTTGACGTCTGTCAAAGTAGCGAGGTGAAAGCTATAGTACAGTGCTTGCTTGATATCAATCCATTTTCAGATACTGGTTTTCGTCTTTTGTTAGGACATTTTCCCGAACTAGTCACTATACATTTTCTACTGCCAGCGCTTGCATTTCCGCACAAGATCGTCATATCGTTTTTGAATTGACTTCGGCGTTATGTTAATGTGGGGGAAAAATCAATTTTAAGCAAGCTTACGTTCTCACATTAAAACACCCTTGGTCTTTTTAGTTAGGCACAGATCCAAAGTTATTTATTGAAGACACATGTTGTCGTTTAGCTATTTGGCATCATTGTTTAATAACTTCTTTCCACTTCGTTTTTCAGAGCGTTCACAACTCCACCGATGCCGCCATGTTGATTATGCCCGTCCTGCTCCTCCTGCTGCTCAAGCTCTGCGCATGTCAGTCCGCGGGCGCCCAGGCGGCCGAGCTTTCCTTCCGGTCACTCCAGACAGATGGACAGCTGACAGACGATGACGCAGCTCTGTACTTCCCGCTAGATGGCAGTAAAAAGAACATTCGACGACCTTTGCCTTCGGACAGTCTGCCGATAGAAGACCTGGTCGAAGATCAAAACTCGATTTACGATCCTCGAGACGAGGACATGAATGTGAAAATGTTACGCAAGCAACTGGGGAAAAACTACGACAAAAAGTACATGTCTATCTACAACCCGAAGAAGAGAATGAATACGGACACTCCTCTCATCAGTTTTGTTCAGGGAAGGCCGAAGGGCAAGAGACCTCACTTCCTCAGGCGTCTGAGAACTGCACGTCTCCAGGACGGCCGAAAAATAAAGTTGAACGCTAGCAAACGAGATCGTAGGAAATTCCAAAAGTATATGTGGAGTTTGACGTTTTGTCCCGTGAAACATTCGTGGAAGTACCTCGGGATTCGCTTCTGGCCTCAGTGGATTAAAGAAGGTACGTGCACCAGCAAGAGGTCGTGTTCCGTGCCTGAAGGAATGACGTGTAAACCCAGTGCCTCCACCAATAAGACGTTCTTACGATGGCATTGTGCCGACTTTGAGGGGCGAGAGTCTTGCAAGTGGATACCCATTCTGTATCCCATCATAACGGAGTGTTCGTGCTCTTGTTGACTTTGGTGAGATTATTCGGAAGATTTTCTGTAAGTATGGACCCTCAAGACATCCAAAAAGTGCCCCCGATCATTGGTGAGCCCGAAGACAGAACTTCTCCTTCTGTATTCTCGGTGTCTTCTGTGTTCTCGATGACAGTCAGACAGTCAACAATCCGGTGGTGCGCACAAACTGTGCAGTCTTCTCTAAATCCTCGAAGCTGCCATGCAGTTTTCTCTTCAATGGTGTGGCATATTGCCATGTCTGTTGCTCTTAAAGAAGCAATACAGAGCGAATATGATCATTGAACCTGTTCTGTGTGCTTAGGTAAAAGGCGACAGAAAGGAGACAAGAAATGCCACCTCACTCATCAAACCATCGAATCTATCAAATATCTGTCAACGGGTTGGCCTGAAAATCAATCTTGGCTTTGCTGCAGCCGACGACAAATCATTAATGGGCACTTTTGGTGTATAGTATTGCTCTCCTCGCTGAGGAAAACAGTCGGGTTCTGTTGTATTACTCTTCCTGCCTTGTTGGGAGTATTCTGATCGTGCATTTATCTCTGTGATATTCTTTAAGTGAATGGCTTTTTATGTAATATTCCACTGGTATGTTACATTTATCTATCAATTCAAAATAACAACCCCGTGTATCGAAATGACTCAGCGCTCTCATCACTTATACAGTCGCGAGCGCCGTAAAACTCTTACCAAACAAACGAAGGAACTTGCAGAACTTTAAACTAGCAGTGGAAAAGATACGTTTCCATTGCTTCAAGGAAGATCTTCGAATCGCGCACTGCCTCAATACTGTGTGCTGTTCTGATTCGGGAAAAGATACAAACACCATCGGCTTGTGTGAAGTCTGCATACCTGTAATGGCACTATGAATTGACCTCTGGTTTACCTTTCAGTGGTACATTGGGCTTCCACGGACTATACGCTCGTAAGATGGCAGACGTTATAAAAATAATTATAAAACAATTATGAAGAAACTTACGGGAATGTATCCAGCTGTGGTATTACTTTTGATTTTGTGATGAAAAGATACATCATGATAACTCTCACATGCTCACAAATACATACCACCACCCCCCCCACACACACACACACGCATACACACGCATACACACGTATACACACGTAT